TTAAAAATTAAAATTAAGAATAAAACCTCGTTTTTTTATGTTCTTGCGGACGGCTCTTATTTTTTTCCATCGTGCCCCAAAACATATCCGGTGGCTAGATCATTCGATTCACAAGACGCTGAGAATAACAATTTTTACTAATTTTCAGTATTTTCCGATTTATTTAGACAGGGTTGTAGATAAAAATCTGAAACTTGCTGTATCGAAGTATTTTATGGGTACAAATATTTCCTGAATTTATGAGCCTGACTCTTTTCTGGGGCCCATTCGGAATTTTTATCATACCAGGGCTTTTATAAATATACTAGCGTGTACCCGCGACTTCGTTCCCGTCGAATTAATCATTGGTAATGGTGATGATAAAGCAAAGCAAGAATTTCCATTAACATACCAACTGGATAAAATTTTCTCACATTTATGTCAGCGTGAGAAAAAACAATATGACGATATTATTATATAACTTGGTAATATTTAGAGGGGTACTTTTATCTCGTTGGAATTTGACTTTCGAAAATTTTCGTTTGCCAAAAATAAGCTTTTTACGACAAGCAGTTCAAGCAGAATCGTGATTACTCAATGGTCATATCAAATGTCAAAACTCACCGGTTTTTAAATAAAAAAATATTCTAATATTTGAGGGTTGGTTTCACCCCCTTAGAATTCGAGTCTCGAAAAATCCCTTCTTATCGAACCTCTACACCCTAAAGTCAATCCGTTTTCCAAAAATCAGCTTTTTACGTCAAGCGCTTTAAGCAGGATCGTGATTAATCAATGACCAGATTTTTCGAAACACCCTGTATACGTTTTAAAAAAATCTTAAAATATGTAAAAAAACAAAATAAAATATGCGTGTTTAAGCGTTTTTTCGGAAACTTGGCCGTTTTTTAAATAAAAAATATTGTAATATTTGAGGGGTGGTTTCACCCCCTTGGAACTGGAATTTCGAAAAATCCCTTCTTATCGAACCTCTAAACTCTAGAATCAACCTGTATGCCAAAATTGAGCTTCTTACGTTGAGTGGTTTGAGCAGGATCGTGATTAATCAGTGAGTCATTTAAGGGTTTTATATATTAGTATCATCATCATCATCATCATCATGTAGCCATCGTTGTCCACTGCTGAACGTAGGCCTCCTCCATATTTCTCCATGTCTCTCGATTTTGGGCCGTCATCATCCAATTTCCAGCTATCCTCTTTACATCATCGGTCCAGCGTGTCGGTGGTCTGCCTCTGCTATGTTTATCTGCTCGAAGTCGCCATTCTAACAATCTTCTAGTCCACCTGTCTTTAGATGTTCTCGCCACATGACCTGCCCATCTCCATTTCATTCGAGTTACGTGTTCCACTATGTCTTTAATTTTGTTTTTTTTTGTCTGATCGTGTTATTAGGAATTTTGTCTCTTTTAGTTATTCCAAGCATGGCTCTCTCCATGGCTCTCTGGGCTACTCTTAAATTTTCTGCTGACTTTTTCGTTAATGTTAGAGTTTCCGCTCCATATGTAATTACCGGCAAGACGCATTGTTCATAAACTTTCCTCTTCAAGCATATGGGTATATCACTTTTAAAGGTCTCCCGCAGTTTGCCAAAAGCAGCCCAACCTAAACCTATTCTGCGCTGTATCTCGTGTGTTTGGTTGTTCTTTCCGATTTTTGTATTTCGTGCCCGAGATATTTGTATATATGTGTTTCTTTTATGTCGGCGTCACCTATTCTGATGTTCTGTGTCAGCACTAAGTTTGTCATTATTTGCGTTTTACTCGTATTTATCCGGAGACCGACTTTTAATGAGGCCTGCACTAATTCTTCGAGCATCTGCTTTGAATCTCCGATGTTATCTGAGACAAGGACGATGTCATCTGCGAATCTGAGATGTGTCAACCTTTCACCATCGATATTCATGCCCCTATTCTCTCTATTATATTAGTATAGATTATCATTAATTATTCTAATGGAGCGTAATCAACTTTTTAATGGAAATTAAAAAAGAGGAACTGAAAGAGAGAGAGAGAACATTAGCTAATTTCATTTTGTCTTGTCAACGGCGAAACCGCAAACGTCTAAATTTATCGTTCCGCATATCGTTTGTTATGTTGAACAAATAAAACCGGGAATCTCGTCCTATTTAACTTATAATTTATTTTATTTTACCCGGGACTGGCAAGTCACGATCGGCCAACTACATTATGTCCCGGATGACAATCGAAAAAACAAGTCGAATTAAAAGACTAAACACTGCAAGAAATCAACGTGCATATATTCGCGGAATGAAACAATTAAAGTATAATCTCTGGGTTTAACCGGGACGTCACGGTTAATTACAATAATAATTTGACATTATTTATTTATTCAATTATCTATGATAAAATCAATTATCTAAGTCGATAATCGTAAGTATATACAATAATTAGGGATCTTATACCTAATTAATATTTTTATTTTTTTAGAAATAATAATAATACCATACTATCAAAAAAAAATTAGCGCCGGGAGGCACGTATAGCCACGTTGCCGCCCATACTAAAATATGTTAATACCTCAAAAACTGCGACTTTGACTGATTTTAATGTTATTAAAAATTTTGTTGCAAATATTATTCCTAATCTTAATTTGAAAACCGCGTTTCGCTAGCTACTGTAATCTTGTTTGAGTTACGATTTTTTAAAATTTTTAATCCCCACCATACCTCCTTAACAACCCCCCCACCGCCACCAAAAACTAATGGCCAGATTCTCGGGTGCCACCAAATACGTTTAAAATAAAGTATACGGAGGGTACCGCTTAAATTCCTGTCCCGATATTGAAGGATGGCTATAGAATTTCAATGCATTTCCTACATAAGTGTATCCTTGGTTTGTAGGAGGTTTGACTAAACAAGGATGAACCTATGTCTTGAACAGTCGACTCGATTTTCTGTCCTCCTTCAATACTGGGACGTAAATCCTCACATTGCTCTTATGGGGAGGCCGTCGTATATTTTATTTAAACGTATTTGGGTGCCACAGTATTTTTGTGCCAAATTTGGTTAAAATCGGTTCAGCGGTTTTTGAGTTATCGTGTTACAGACGGACAGACAGACGGACAGACAGACGGACAGACAGACGGACAGACAGACGGACAGACAGACAGACAGACACCATGAAAATATTTTGTATTTAGGTCATTTATGACCCAAATAACTTATTTTGAGTGAAATTAAAAAAACTTTTTTTTGCCGGTCTTAATAGCCTACCATAGCTATTGGTATGGTGGGCTAAAAACGGCTGGAGAATGGAAATCGATGATAATTTTAGTGAGGTCCAGCCCTGGTGACGTTATTTACTTGGCCTGTACTCTTATTTATTTTTTAATGGCACTTACTACCAGTTGGCCTTAGGACGATTGTAATATATTTTATATTTTTTAGTAAAAATGATTTTTAAATGGTGCAAATCTCTATAAAATCAATAAATATATATATATTCTTCTACTATCTTTCTATAATTAATGTTAATTTTGACAAGTTTCTTGTCAATTTTTGGTAAATGACGTCTAGAGATTGACCTCATCAAAACTAGCATTGATTGTCATTCCCCAGCCGTGTTTGACGCCGTTTTTTTTCGATCATACGGTACCTATATCATGTTATGTTTTTATAAGCATTTTTATTTTTAGTTAAAAAACGTAAGGCTTTTATTCAAATTTTGATAAGTTCGTTTATGTTGTTTGATGTGAACTTTTAAAAAGTTACATACCTATATATGTTGTTTTCTTCGCTGCTTTTCGTGTTTGTGTCACATTAATTTTCTCATGAATGATTAATTAATAAAATTTGATGTTATTTTTATTGCAAAAAAACAATTTTTCATAGATTTTACTTTTGAAAACCATATAGCTTGCAACCTTGCTGATTGACGAACGGCATCATAGTAGAATTAGTTAGTACCGAAAGCACAGAAAAAAAAGTAAGTCCCGATTCGTTAAAGGCGTGGTAATGAAATTCTCGGTTTCAAAAAACCGTTCCGGTTCTGGAAAACCTACCCAGCTCTGTCGTGTTAAGCGACGATAGACTATGCCAGTAGATGAACGTGTGACCCTCTGGAAATTCTGTCGTACTGTTGTTCCTCGGTAAGAGTGTAAAATATAGTGACGTACACTGCTCATTCACGCCCCTTTCAGTCCGGTTGAGTTCGGATATCTCGTCAGTAAGGGTTGCTTTAGACACTCGCCAAATTGGTAGAACATTGATATGGTCCAGGATAGTGGTTTGGATTCCGCGCAAACAAAGTAGCTCGCGAAAAGGGGGACGAAAACTTGAGTACTTTGCTTTTAATTAACTTGTCTTTTTACTTTTGATTAAAATTATTTATAAACATTTTCAGAGACCTTCTACCTACATAAAAAAATCTAATTTCAGAAATTGTTTTGAAATAAAAACATGAAAAGTAATTTGAAATAACTTTCATAAAAAATATAAATTATTATATATTTGAAGTAATATTTGTATTTCCAGCTTTTTTATAGAAAAATAAATATAAACTCTTTAGTATAAATAAAAAGCTTTTTTCCAAATATATATATACAAAATATTCAAATTTAATTTAAATGTGTGTGTGTATCGTAACCATCAATTCATTGAATAAATTAGTAATTTAGTTTTATCAATATTTAATATTTGCCAAACGTGATATCAGTTTTACAAATATATTAGAAAAAATCTGGTCGTAAATATATATTTCGCTTACAAAAACTAATTTATTATTAGTAACAATTTATATTTATGTTATTACATTATTAGCGAATTATTAAAACAGAATAAAATTGAAAAAAATGCCGCTGAGTAACAGTAGGCCTTAAGGCCGCAGTGGAGGCTCAAACTAGGGACCTACTCTAAGTAAATACTATACAGCAAAAAATAGATCACTGTTTTTTATACACCCTGTACAAGAACATCTCTTCCTCCTCTAACAGTACCCGTTGTCGATCTTCAATCCACATATTATCATTATAACTAGCAGCTTAAAAGCAGTCCGAAATTCCGCCTGTCGCGATCAGTACGAGATGAACTGTGGCTGCGCGGAGACTTACATCGGGCCGCCCCTAACCGCCACCTGCGGCGGCGGCTCCTTCCTCGTCTTCATGGGCCTGCTGGACACTTTCATACGGAAAAAGTGCGAAATATCCGAGATATGCCAGAGGGTGACGCCGCGCCAGGCGCCGGACTTGGAGTACGACTTTGTGGTGATCGGGGGTGGGAGCGGTGGTGCCACTGCGGCGGGGAAGTTGGCGCAGGTGCGGGGGTGGAGAGTGCTGTTGATCGAGGCGGGGGGTGATGAGCCACCAGGGTCGCAGGTCAGTAGAAAATTAGAAACTTTTTTTATTAAAAAATAACAAAATACGAATGATCTGAAAATATTATAGATTCGGGTCCAAATTATTGTTGTTGACCAATGATATACGTTATTGTATGGTTTATGAAGGTGTATATCCTAGAAAATATTTTGTTCTATATAGAGTGACCCAAAAAATTTTACTTTGAAATTTAAAAAAAAAAAATTTTTACTTAAATTTTGAGAACTGGATCTTTTTTTTTTGTAAATTTAATCCACTGTATATGTTGCTATATTATGAAGAAGTTATGTTTTTAACTAAAAACAAAAAATATCAATTTTTTTTTGAAAAAATACCAAATTTTCAAAAAAAAGATAGCGAAAAAACCTTATAATCGTGTTCTGGGGGCAAAATGTACTTCCCCTAAAAATATTTGCACTCATTTAGAACTCACCCTGTATATCTCAATTTTATTAAATACAACATGATATACCGGGTGCGTCTCAAAAGTGGCTCACCCCTATAACTTTTTTGTTTTTTCAGATAAAACAACGAGATTTGGTATGTTAGAATATGACATAAATTGAGATTGATTGACATATTCAACTGTTTTCTGTCACTTCCGGTTTCACAGGAAATGACTACAACTTTTGATTTTTAAAAGTCACCGTCGGTATTTTTTTACTTTATTCGATAGAAAATGACACTTTGAATAGAATGACACAACATATGTCAACTTTTGACATTATTTTCGTATATGGCATATTTAAAATTGTAACATGCGGTTCATAACGACAATTTCACTCGAAATACCAAGTGTGTGGTATCAAATTATTTGTTAAAACATTATTTTTTAAAATATGCTAATGAGCCACCCTCGTTTCATTTGAAAAAATTGAGATATGATTAAAAATACGATATGGGCATCTTTAAACCGGCCAGGACAAGACACTAAAAACATTAGACGATCAAATTTATTTTTCCAAGGCTCCTTGATTAAAAATTAGTATTTTTAACACAGTCATGGCACTCTAGATTGAAATTTAAAATACAATTTGTTTTTCAGCGAATATGTCAAAAGTTGGCATATGATATGTCATTCGATTCAGAGTATCATTTTCAATCGAATAAAGTAAAAAAATACCGAAAGTGCCATTTATAAATCAAAAGTTGTAGTCATTTCCGGTGAAACAGGAAGTGACCGAAAACAATTGAATATGTCATTCAATCCCATTTTATGTCATATACTAACCTAACTGAAAAAATTAAAAAGTTATAGGGGTGAGCCACTTTAGAGACGCACCCGGTATAATATTATTTTCCTATTAGATGCCCTACTAAAAACTGAATATTTTTTGTAATTAAAGTATTCCGAAATTTTTAACGGTTTCGCAGATGTTTAAACACTAAATTTCTATCAAAACTTTTTCTATTGATCTTTGTCTAGTATTCTACCATTGAAAGATCTATTGTAGGTAATATAACACCGCGAATATCAGCGAAACCATTAAACATTTCGGAATATTTTACATAAAATTTACAACACAAAAAATCATGCGTTCATTTTTTAGTCCTGCATCTAAAAGAATAATAATATACAGATGTTGCATTTAAAAAATTGATTTTAAATATTATGATGTTGGCGATACCATAAAAAATATTTAAGATAATATAAATTTTCCTTTGTAGGTTTATTCAGTTATCCTCGATGTTTAGGAAAATATGGCTAAGTATTAATAAAGTCAAATTCATTCCAGAACCACTTCTCGAATATAGTTTTTTAACCAATGTTTCAGTAAATAATAAAATAGTTTGGCAATACCGCATAGTGCCTCCAATAAAAATAGTGTACTCTATTGTCGAAGCCGTGTACAGAATAGCGCCCTTTAATCTTTAGTATAGGTACCTACATACTGCCCAAGTAGCAAATTTTATTTTATAAAGGCTGTATAAACAGCTATGTGATAATTTTTATAGGATACCTCAATTCATATAACATGCTATATGACCGTAATATGATAGCTTTACAACCAAAAAAGGCCCATTTTTATACAACCGTTTAGTAGTATAGAAGTTCTATGAAAAGGGTATACAACTCTTATGCAACTATTTTACACAGCGTTATATGAGTATTATAAAACTAGTTTTATTGTGTATTACGTGGTCATATCTAAGAAACAGAACAATAAAAACATTTGATCATTTAGCGAGGTACAAGAGTATTTTATTTTTTACCCAAGAATATTAGGAGCAAATTATATTTTAAGCGTGTCGTAAAATGAATCTAGAGGATGTGGATTGTTAAAAAGGAGACTTTACTCGACGGTGAAGATGGCGGGTAGAGCCCGAAGCTACAACAAATATGTAATATAAAAAATCATTAATAACATTTTACAATTTATTTTCATGTTTTTAATTTTGCTTCATATAATGGCGACCATAGGCCATAGAAAAATTCTGCCATAAACATGGCGAATTATAATGCAACCATTTTATTATAAATGAATCCCTTAAATAAGTCTTTGTTGTAAAATAAAACGGTATAGGATAAATATCTATCATAACGCAGAATTTCCAGGCACTATAGAACTATTTTGGACATATTGAGATTTGTGACAAATAGATGTTGCCAAATCTCATTTGATTAGTATTTAAACTAACAAATATGATCAGATTTTCATGGATTCGTGCATGCAATGCATTTCATGCGTGCCCGATAAGTGAGCGGCAGCCTAAGGACTTGCAAAAATAACAATAAAACAATACAAACATTACTACAGTAAAACTTTTACATCAACGTGGCAACAATGCTTTGAAGAAACCAGACAACCCGAGAGATTTTGGTTTTTGAGAACCCAGGGAATTCTCGGGATTATTTGCCGTTATTTCGAGGAGTTTTTTCTTACATGCTCTTTATAACTACCACTGCGTTTGTTAACTTTTTTCCAACTTTGTCCAGAATTCATAATAGCTGTGATTGATTATACTCGTACGTAGATATTACTTTTGCAACAACAACAATAACAAAATAAATAACTAGGTATACCATTTAATTTAAAATGAGGTTATATTATACATTACCAGTTTTATAATGCAGATATTACAGTGAATTTATTTTGTTAATCACAATTTTATCATATAAGGCTATATAACTGGTGTTGTATACAGCACCGTAGTTTAACGCAATAAAACATTCTATCATACAACGTAATACAACTTTAATAAGACAAGTTTAAGTAACTATTTATGATCTTGTGACTACTAGTTATATGAATATTATAGAACTCTTACATGGTGCTTTATTTGATTTGTATGATATTTACAATTGTTGTTGATTATGTTACAAATTTTCAATATATTAGAGTTGTTTTTAGTTATAGAAAATTCATTTTCTTATAATTTAGACCTCGTTTATCAATATACCCATGTAAAAAATGTACAGATGCAAAAAACGATAATATTGCTAGTCCATTTGTATACAAAAAGAAAAATATTTAAATCTTTGTAAAATACTATACCATTAATTAAATATACCACCATTATTTCCGCCCAAATATTAATTAATTACATACTTATTTGTGTTAGTTAATAAATTACCTACTCTAAATAAATGAAATATGAAGCAGAAATGAATATATTAATGTTGACGTCTCTGTTGTTATAAATAAGCACTCGTCAAAAAATGACATAAAATTAAGAAGGCGCTACTTTTTACTACATTGTTCGAAAACTGGGATCATATTAATTGGTCCCCTTTTACAAAAATATATAAATAGTTTTATTTTTTAAAGAAATAAGCAACTATATCGATAATATTAGTATCTGTACTCTTTGAATATTTGTTACATCTTTAAAAATGATATAAAATATCAATATTCCATGGGTATATTGATAAATTATGGGGTCTAAATTATAAGAAAATGCATTTTTTTGAAAACTTGACGAGATAGGTAAAAAATGATTTAGCACAATTTGATAGACAATTAAATTCTGCATCTGATTACCGTAAAATATATAGGGCGTTCTATTTAAATTAAACAAGTTATTGCGGTTTAAAACTAGTAATTATTTAAAGTAAATTTTTAGACATTCTGTATAAGGTAGTATTATTGTTATTATTGCAACACGATAACGAAATAAAATAAATGTACTGATTTCTTTCGAAAATCGACAACTATGAAACTATGAACCCTTCCCGGACACAAACGGTACATTGTGAGACAGGAAATTGTAGAGAGAAACAAGCCCTATAACATAGGATACAACATTTTAATGAACAGTGCTTTCCATAAAATCAATAAAATGAAAAATATACGAAATAAAATAAATGTAATGATTTCTTTCGAAAATCGACAACTATGAAACTATGAACCCTTCCCGGACACACACGGTACATTATGAGACAGGAAATTGTAGAGAGAAACAAGCCCTTATACATACAACGGATACAACCCTAATAGTCCTACAAAGAACCCAAAACCTACAACTTGTAAAAATCTAATCGTTTGGTTACAATACCCTGTGTCGAATGAGTTGAATAACCCTGTATACAGGGTGGTCCTAACTGTATTTCGGAAACTTCGGCAGCATATTCTGTAGATAAAAATAAGTAAAAAAGTTCGTATAAATGTATATCCAAAAATGCTTAGTTTTAGAGATACAAGGTGTAGTTCAAGATACAGGGTAAATTTCATTTTTATTTCGATTTTTTCCAAATAATTTCTGGAGTAACATCGATATTTGGATGAAAATTGGCGTCTAGAAGTTTTTTGATATGAGAAATTTTATTTTGATGTCAATATGACTTCTGCTGGTAGGGGGCGCCACCTACATGTGTTTTAACTGTTTTGAAGCGCAATAACTTTTTGTCCGTACCTGTATAAAACTAATAGGGGGAAAGAATATACATCTCTGTGAATTTTTACGTAAAAAATATCTCTTTATAAAAATCGCTACGAGCAACCGTGCTCAAGATATTTAGAATTGAAATAGTCAATACATGTCATTATTGACGAAAAATA